TTCCCCCTAGTGAAACCATGCTGGCTGTCACTGGAAAGGGCGGGTTTTTTTTTTTTTCTGGATAGAAGAAAATTAGCTGAACTAATAGATCACAGCAAAGTGGTGGTACTGGAATTAGTTATGAAGGATTGAATCTTTTATGCACAGACTAGCCTTTTCTTCCCCTAATTCAGCTTTAGCATTAAGAAATACTGTAGGGGATCAAGTGGTGATAGGTCTGAATGATGGTAGATGCTTCTGTTTGTGGACGGAACAGCAATCACCAATGATGACCATGAGTCATGCTCTGTTTAGTTATGAACAGAGTGAAGTACGAAAGATTCAGATGGTGGCTTTCTCACTCCATGAGGGTAGTAAGCAACGATGAGTTGAGTCCGACTGTCAGAGGTGAATGAAGAGGATTTACATTTTTGCTCAGCAAGGACTGTGATTAAATAGTAGGACCATGAACAGATAGGTGTGTGTCAGAAGTGGTGATGGATAGTATGGGGTTATTGCTGCTTTACTGTTGTCTCGATTGATAGATATTTTTCAAACTGTTTTTTTCTCTCTTTCCAGAAGGTACCAGGGGCATCTGGTGGAGCTTTACCAAAAAGGAGGAATGCTAAGCTATTTTTAGGTATTGTGAACAGCTGTTTTCACACAATCCTTTTCTGACCCTGTCTGCATGTGTACTTGGGTTCTGTCCACCGTATTGTCTGGTTGGTGATTATTGTTTGGTGGGAGAGAGGATTGTGGGGTTTTCTGGATGATTTTTGTTTGGTTTTGATTGTGGTGTTTGTTGTGGTTTCTCATTTGGTTCTCTCTCTTTTTTTTTAAGTTTTAGTTTTTGAAGTTGGTCCAGGCAAATAAGTAATTCTTAGCAATTTGGTGCATACTGAAAGGTATTTGTAGGTACACATGAAACATTTTAAAGTAGGTCCTCAACTATTCTCAAAACAGCCTGGGATTTGATAGGTATTTTTTGACTAATGATGTCCCTTCTCTCTCTTTGTGATTTCAACAAAAGACCCTTCTATTAAAACGTTTAGCTATATTGAATGTTTAGCTATAACAGGGTCTCGGTGTGGCACTGCTCTGCTAAGCAACTGGTCATAGGAAGGGTTGTTACTGTTTCAAAATCGTTCGGTAAATGGTCTCTCCTGTAATGAATGCAACAGTACATGTACCAGATCATCTCGTTACCAGTTCTTACTCTGTTCTGTCCACAGTTATATCCCCTTGCTTCATGGAAAGCAGCTGATTCATCTTTTATTTATTCTCTCTATATTAATAGCAAATAGTGATATTTATTATGGGGTTTTTTTGTTTGGTTTTTTTTTTATGGTAATGAAGAGGTTAAAGGTTTTCTTTACAGTTAACAGTTCTTATGGCTAAAGGGAAACAATAGCATGGCCTCCCTTTGGAATTACTTTGATCTGTGGAATGTGTCCTTAAGAGGACTTTGCGGGTTGTGTTTGATTAAATTGTTGTTGTTAATATTTGGAGTAAGCTTTCAAAGGAGGGCTTAGAGAGAAAAAAATAAATCTAAAGATGAGTCATAAAGAAATGAAAATTCTTTTGTAGGAGTTAGGTCAGTTAAGGAGTTAAGTTGCAGATGCTGATCTAAATGCCATTTACTGTCAGTTTACTGGGTGCTTATAAAATAATGGGTTCAGCAACAAAGCTGGTTGCAGTGCAGCAGAGGTTGTACAGTGTTAGCAATGTGAGTGTAAATAAGTACAAATGCATGGTCAAATTTTATTCTTGCTGATCTGCTGCTTGTATTTTGAGGCTCCTGTCATTGTGGTATGCTGGCACACAGTGTATGTAACACAGTTTTTCTGCTGTGCCATGTTGGAGTCTTCAAATTCCATTCTTGCACATGAGCATTTTGTTCCCACTGAATAAATCTGGTGCTGTAGTTCCAAGTGTCCTGGTCCCAGTAGACTTATGAAGGTGGTGTAGTTCCACTGGGGTGGATTTAGTACATGGAACTATCACCATTTAATCCAGCATTCTGGAATCTAATGAAATGTACTTTTAAAAATGTATCTCATCTGGTCTGTTCTACTGCAGTCTTCTCTGCAGCCCCTGCTGGCTAGGAGTAAAATGGTACCAACTCTGATCCTTCCCATGCATACAAGTGCTTTGTATCCACTTTGGCTCAGCAAATTTTATTATTTTTTGTCCATGCTTAAAGAAAAGAACAAATAATTATTCCTGTCCTTGTTCATAGCTGAGGAAATGAAAGCACAGAGAGGCCAACTGATTGCATGTGACAGCAGCAGAGATGGTTAGCCAAATTTGGCATTTTCTCTCTAAATCCAACATCTTCCTCATTGGTTGGTTGCTGCTGGACTTCTCATCTTACCAGGTCGTTTTAGTTCTGTCTTTCTCATTGTGATGACCTTAGGCACTTACGGTAGAGGTTTGCACCAAGCTGGCTATTACCAGCCCATATATGTAGCCTGCAATGTTGGGATTACCCTGTCAGACAAGAACAGATAATTATCAATGGATAGCTCTAGCATCCTGGTGTTTCTAGATGTCTGAAGAATTCCCTGAAGACCCAGAGATTTAAGCTTTGTGTACAAACTCAATCCAGTTTGGGCATTTGTTACATTGCTTCTTACAATCGTCTTTGATGTAAAGCTATTAAAGATACTAAACACTTATCAATCTCCTTAGAACAACATCTTTTGGATGCTTACTGATTGCCTTCTAGCAGTGCTGCTATCCAGTAAGTGCAGTGGAAACACAGACTGGCTGGGTCAGTTAGCTGGAAGCTTTATCTTTTTCCTAAACATTAAAAGATCCATGACAAAGTGTGTGTGCATAATAGTAAAACTAGATTTTGGGCTCATTCTGTTTTGTTTTTCTTTTGGAGAAGGCTGGAGGGTGTTGTCTGTGAGTGTTTTATCTGATCAGGAAGAATAATAGAACATTGTGTATTGAAATGGATGAGCTGCCTTTACTCTAGCTTATTTAAGTGTTGCTAGGCAGTGTAGATAAGGTAACTTCAGCTCAGAGTGTGCAAGCTTCAGGGAATTTGGGGTGGTATTTAGAGCAGACTGTGTCATGATGCATGGAATAGTATCTTCACTGTGTTGTTAGCTAGGCTAGCAAGATTGAAGATACTTTGTGCTTGTCAATATGAGTGGCTATCCCACAAAGAAGTTTTAGATCTAGTCTGTAAAATTAATTGATTGGACAAGATGGTAGCTCCCCATGACTTCACAAGGCTCTCTGATAAGAACCAGCTGCACTGTTGCCTTTGGTATGCAAACTCTTTTTTAAATCAGCCACAGTATGGTAAATGTGATACCAGGTACAGGGAGGGAAAAAAAAGAAGACATGATGGGACAAGGAAAAGTACCATCACTAAAATTGGTTTTCATATTTGGACGTCTGGAAGAAAACTAATAGATGAGAATTGAGGGAAAGTTGTATAAATATGATGTAACAGATAAGAACCATTATGGATTTTCCAAAGTGAAGTAATGGTTCTGGGTCTAAGAATACTCTGGGACTGTGTGTAGTAGTCCCCCTATGTATTCAGTGATGAGCAATTTGGTTAACAGGGTGTACTGTGGTCTTCCTTATGAGATCCTGGTCAAAAGGGGTAGTAGAATAAGGGGGAAGATCCTTGTGTTAAAAAGATTGGAGGCTCAGTTCTTACAGTAGAGTTATCAGCAGAGTCCCTTTGGATCTGTTACTCCCAGAAGTTATCAGCAGAGTCCTTCATAATGTTCTAATTCTGATGAATTAATGTGATCATGAATGGTTTGGAAAGAGATTGAAAAATGAGGAAATGGAGTTTGGTGGTTGATTTAAAATGTAAAAGTGATTTTTAAATGTGCTACGAACTAAACTATAGATGAAGTAAATGTTGGAAAATGCAAAGATGATAAGTGCTTTCACTGTGTGTGCATAGTGATGTCTAAATTAGCTATAGCTGTTTCGGAAAGGTAGTTCTGAGAGAGATGATATGAATGGTTCTCCGAAAATGACAGCTCAGTTGTCAGCAGCAGGGAAAGTCAAGTGAAACATCAGGAGTAAAGCAGCATTTTATATTTTATTCTCTATTATTTTGCTTTATAAATAAGAAGTGAGCCTCTCTTTTTGAATAGAGAAACCACAGCTGCATGCGGTATCTCCCCCATCTCTCAAAACCAACCAGGCAAGCACGACCCCCCACCCCAGAAAACTAAACTCTCTAGATAGTTGTCTGGAAGGTAGGAGGTATACACTGCAGGAGGAGTCACTGCATTTTTGCCTTGTTCTGATACCCTCTTCTAGGCACCTGTTGGTCCCTGACAAAGTCTGGACTCTAGGCTAAACAGAGCTGACAGCGACTGTTGTAAAACTTGTCCATAGACATCCGCTTCCAGATCAGTTACCATAGCAGGATCTGCCAGTGCAGCAAGTTGTGTGTGCTTTGTTTAGAGCAAAGTCAGGGCTAACTTAGACCATCAATTAAAAGTGTTTTGAAGTTCTCAAATGGACAGCTCTTTCAGCAGATCTGTGAGGATGGTAATTGCTGCTGAGAGGAGTCTCAGTGAGGAGCCGTATCCATGACACACAGCTGGTCTCAGAGAAGGCCTTGGAAAGGAAGACAAAACTTCCACTTAGAGAGTCTCAACATGTAAACTTGAGCTTTTCCTGGGTGGCACCTGCCTGCCTATGGCAATGAATGTACTTACGACTACTGTTTGCAACTGTAAAGACCATTCATAAGAGTGGCTGTGCTGCATTTCACCACAGCTTCACTTAACTCTCCTAGATCTCATAGCAGGGAGTAGCAGAACCCTATTTTCAGTAAAGATGCTTTTGTTTGGTAAGCTTTTGAAGAGGACTTTTACCAGCAGTGGTTTAAGTTTGAATTTAAGTAAGTACTTACAAAGTATGTATCTGTGAATGGAAAGCTGTGATTTAGGCGGACTTGAGTGTGTTCTGGCAATATTTTTAAATTTTAGCTCAGTGAAGTTGTGCAAACTCACCTGCAGTAGCAGTGGAACTGATTAGACCATGAGTGAACTTGTTCCTCTCTGGCTTTGCCGTCTAAGCTAGAGTCAATTATAGAATGGTGAGCAGGTACCTTACACCAATAGATTAATAGTTAGCTGGTTTAGGTAGAACTGTGGAAGTTATGCTAGATTAAGAAAGGCTAATGCTGCTAGCAAAATACTTAGGAATTTGAATTTTGGTGCTTTAGCTCTGCTTTTTTGACACATGACTGTGCCAGAAATCCAAGGGCTGAGGTCTGTATCTAGCAATAAGAACAACATACTAATGCTTTGGAGATGTGGCAAGCAATTTTAATGTTATTTTACAAGTAGCAAATGTCAAAATGATCCTAGTACAAAGTTTTGCTTTTCCTTTTGCCACAAAGGAGAATGTCACAACTATAAAGTGGTTGTGGGTTTTTTTTTTTTTTTTTTTTTTTTTTTTAATAGCTCATCTGTAGCGGTCAGTGTTTCAGATGTGCCTGAAGACAAATGAATTGAAAAGCCTTTATTTTGCAAAGTGCTGTTGCTGTAATTCACTATTATTTAGAGGCTTCAGGAAGAAATATTTTGATTTAAAGACTCAGTCCTCCGCTTCTAAGTCAATACAAATTTGTCTATTGCTTTTCAGTGAGAGAGCAGGGTCAAGCCCAGATTCCTAAGATGTCTTTCTAGAGTTTCAAAATTAGTTGTAGGCTCACTAGTTAACATCCTCATTCAATTTTTGTGCTTGTGTTCTCTTTCATATGACAGAGATACATCCATATGCACAGGAAATCATGTTTGGGGATCCTGCATTGAGTCTCCTTATGCCACTATTATTAGCGCATTCTCTTGGTAACTTGTCTAAATCTGATCTGAGGACTTCCACTCCTTTTCTTCCCCTCCAGTGGGTTGGTTTACAGTACTGTCTTCCACTTCCAGCTGCTGTTTTCAGTCAGTTCAGCAGCAATGAATTTCTCACTGTCACTAAAGTGATGCCTATGAGCTGGAGTAGATTTACTCTACTGACTACTTGCCCAAAATAACATCAGTTGAGCCTCTGTTGTAGTGTCTGTTATTTTGCTTTGCCTGTCGTCCTGGCCTCCCAACACCACACTTATGACCTATGGATACTCGTTTTAGTGACACTGTTTTAGTGACCACACTGTTTAACTGGGGCTTTGAGGATACACCGTAAAGCTGTTAGTCCACAATGTCATATGGGCATTCCCCATCAAGTTTTCAGCTCTTTAGAAAGATTAGACTGGTTGGTTGTCTTGTGGCTCAGTCTTGGAACAGAGTAAAGCTTTTTTTTTCCCCCTCAGAAATTCTTCTTGTTTAAGTATAGTGCTTGAAGGTTCATATTTTTCAGTGCCTTTAGTACTGCAGTAATTTTTAATCAAATATGCTGTGTTTGGAAGTCAGTTTCCCCCTGCGCCTCTTTCCTATAGCTACTCTTATTCCTTTCTCAAATTCTGCACTAGTTTTAAAATCTAAGTTTAAAGTTGCCTACAGACTGCACATGGTGCCTGGTGACTACAGGGTCAGCCTCTGTCCTCCTTTAGTGTGGCTCTGTTGCCTTCAAAAGTAACAGTTGTCTGTTTCTATTCTCTCTACGCTTGTACTTTCTTAGCCGTGTTGGCTCTTGCACAGGCACAGAAAATATAATGCAGGTAGAACTTCTTACTGAACAGTGCAACTATGGCTCTCAGCACATACAAGCCAAGATACAAAAGGATGAGTAGTGATTTGGGGGTTTTGTAGTGGACATCATTAAGGGGCTTGTCTGGCAGTCAACGGAAGAGATTAGTTTATATGGTCATCTGCTGTAGCAAAGGATTTCAGTCAGTGACCTTAGAAGTCTGTTCCACTCTTATGTACTGGATCTGAACCCTGAGAAACTGTCTTCAGAGTGATAATTGCCAAAAAAGTACTGGCAGTGCTTTTAATTCCTATTCAGAGGGAGTAGGAGTGTGGAGTAGAAGTCTACCAGCTTTACATGGTCACTTTGAAAAGTGATTTGAATTGCCAGTTAGATCCTCTTTTTTTTTTCTTTTTTTTTTTTCCCCCCTGTTACGAAGTTGCATATGTCGTTCTTTAAAATAGGAAGTGTGAGGCTGCTGTATCAGTGTGTCTGATATCCAGAATGCCATGCCAACGGGACATGGTTTTCTGCTTTTCTGGTAATGTGAATGGTGTGAGACCCGTGAAGGTAAAAAGGAACTTTTCTTCCCTACCCACTGGACACAAAAGGCTGATGGTTCTAAGTGTGTGATGTCCTTAGATGTCAGTGGATGATTGCTAATAGGATACTCAGTCTTTTATCCCTGGATCACTAGTTCAAATGGAGGTCAGGTCAGTAGCAGTAAAGTTACTAATAGCTGGCTGTTGTCTGGCTTGTGAGATGAGCTGAAGTGTGTGTCTGAATTTTGAACCCAGGGAACTGTATCATTGCTGTTTCTATACAGCGGATTTTAAATACCATAAGCTTAATGTAGGTGTCACAAGGAAATGAAAATAGCAGCCCTTCTTACACGTTTACAGATAGCAGCTGATGTGAGCTGTCCTCAGGCTCCCTCTGGTGGCTGAGCGAGGTATGTGACTGCAGGCCCTGGAAGAGGCGGTTGCTGTCTTTAAAGCTTGGCTGAAGATACACGGAGTTTTCATCCTTTCTGAGGAACCTCTGTCATATTTAGGAGATGATCAGTACTTCTGGTTTTGCTGTGCTGGTCACCATCAAATTTAAGGGCATTAAGTCTCTGTCAACTTGAAGAAACTAAATTTCTTTGCTTCAGAGAGCGAAAAAGCTTACCGTTACTGACCATGTCTGTTGCGATTCACTCCTTTATCAGAACACAGGATTTCAATACAAGATGGGAAAGAAGCCCAGAGTAAAGTGAGGTCATTGGTTATCTCTTAGCTGCAGTAACAGAAGGGATCCTTATGGAAATAATGTGATTTGGGGGATTAGTAACAAATTAATATTTTCTTTATAAATGTCGTTCAGTATAAGAAGTTGTTCTTGCTTTTGTGTCTATATTCAGCTAATAATAAGGGGCTTTTGTTGTTTACTGCTGAGAAAGAGATCATGCTGCTGGAAATCACTGACAGTGGGTGTTGCCACCCCTCAGTACTGGTTGATACAGCAGGTGAGCCAAGAATTGAATGGATACTGGATTATGTTGTTCTCAAGAGGTGGTCTTTCCAGGTCAAGTTAAAATATCTTTTGATACTTGTTTTATCAGTTAGGATTTTCAGGCTGTTACTGTCCACTGGGTAAACGGAGAGTTTAGTTTTCTGTCATCCTCGCCTCTCTACCAAATATACATTTGAGATTTGAGGCATTGCCTGGGTGCAGTGGTTGCTGCCAGTGCTTGTTGAGTATTGAGTGTCTCTTTAAGCATATGCATGTACTTACAGTGAAAATAAGAGTCAGCTTTAGCTACTGCTAATGTATCTTCTTTGTTGGTTGAACCTTATTCTGTCAGTGACTGCCTGGTACATTGGAATACAGTAGATCCAGCATCTCCAGATGGGAGAAGGATCCAGAACATCCCATCCTTGCCCAGGCTATTCTTGCAATTGACTCTTGTGAAATGTCAGACAGAGCACGCACATGTTTGGTTTTAACTTTTTCAGTTATCCTGGAAAGAACTCAGCAAGATTGTCACTATGGGATAATTATGTTTTTGATGAAGCTAGAGATAAAACCACTGGTGATTCAGTTACTAATATACCCTCCTGGCTTTTCTGGGTCCACTTATTTCTGGACAAGTGTTTTAGCTGATGTTGCTTGATCAAGGCACATATTTAAGCAGAGAAGTCATCCTTACACTGGAATAGAAGTACACACAAACACTATGGAAGACTTTATCTTCAAAGGAAAGCTTTATTAGTAAGTGAGTTTTAAACACTTATGCTGGTTACAGAGTGGAGTTCATAAGAGAGGGATAATGCTGGTATGACTGTACTTGCTGTAGCTATTTGAGAATATGAATGAGATGTGCAAATACTTCCAGTCTTGGACATCTTCATGGGAAGAAAGGCCAGAGATTCAAGAGGAATGAGAGTCATAGCGTGTTTCAGCCAGGTGTGTCATCTGGAAAATATGGGGGAGGGGCCTGAAACAGAGGTGCATTATTCCTGCTCTGCAATTTGGACATGGGTAGTGTGACCTGGTCTCTATATTATATAGCATTTCAAGACCCTGGGTTAAAGGCACAGCAGTGTTACATCCTGATTTTGTCCAAAATGAGCAGTATTTTATTAGATGCTTCCCAGAAGGTCATGTCTGCAGCAGAACACTGCTTGGAGAGGGGACAAATCAACTGTGACTGTGGATTAGATTAAGATGGAAATCTTGGCCCTCAGAACATTCTCTTGCAGGATGGTCAGATTTCAGTTTAGGTCAGGATTTCATAAACATTCCTATCCAGAAGAAACTACTTAGTGACAGTGTCAGCTTGCTGGCTGATGCCAGGAGAGCAGTGCTTCATAATGGTACCTATGCCACAATTTAGGAGTCTTAATGTCAGGACAATATCCTAACATTCCCCATCTTGTTTTCCAGATCTAGAGACAAACAGTGATCTGAACACTGATGACTTTGAATATGAAGATGAAGCAAAACTCATTTTGTTTCCTGATCACTATGAAATCCCATTACCTAATATAGAAGAGTTACCAGCACTGGTCAGTGAGCATGTGCAAGTGGTGATAGGAATTGTCTTCTGCTTCAGTTTTTATCAAGACGGTGCTTTGTTTTCTTATGTGTGGCGCTTGGTTTTACATAAAGATCTTTTTAAATCAGCTATAATAGTAATTTTTAAAAGTCTGATTTGTCTTTTTTTTCTTGCATTTCCTTTTTACCTCCTGTATTCCTTCCCTTATTATGATGCCAGCTTGTCCCAGGGAAACTCTCATAGTACATGTGTCTACTTTTCTGCTAAAATAAAACTGCAGTTTGGAAGATTACATGCATATTTAAGTATATAGATAGTCTTACTGATAGCCAGTTCTGTCAGTGGTTAGCAGAGGGCTGAATGCCAAGTTCTGTCTAGTCACTGAATCATGTTAGGTTTTGCTTGATGTACATTTGTCTTCCAGGTGACGATAGCTTGTGATGCACTCCTCAGTGCAAAATCACCCTACAGGAAGCAGGACCCTGACTCCTGGGAAGAAGAACTACAAGCGTCTAAACATGCCAAAACACTTGTACAGTTAGACAATGGTGTTAGAATTCCCCCCAGGTAAGGGTAATAAGGTTTGTTTGTTGTAGGTGCTCTAATAATGTCCAGAGTAACAGAACTAAAGCCAGCAACTCAGCCAGGAGTTCTCCTGCATGACTCCGGGCTGGGTGTGTATGCTTGGTTTGACCTACCATAATTGGAAATACAGGACTAGTTCCCGACTTATTTATTTCTATTGTTTCTTCCTGTTTTCTCTTGCAGTGGTTGGAAATGCTCAAAATGTGACCTGCGGGAAAATCTGTGGCTAAACTTGACAGATGGTTCTGTGCTGTGTGGAAAGTGGTTCTTTGATGGTAGTGGGGGGAATGGGCATGCAACGGAGCACTACAAGGAGACAGGTTATCCACTGGCAGTGAAGTTAGGAACCATCACTCCTGATGGAGCAGGTTAGCCACCTGGCAGGTTCTGAGATGAGCTATCTTTTGTGCATGTCTATATCTATTAACAAATGGGTTTGTACTTCTAGTATAAATCTTTCTGAGAGTGTCATACAGAAAGGAAACCCTGTGAGTCTGTGAATCTTGTTGGGGCTGGGGGGACCAACACGCACTCCATTTGGAGAAAGCCTTTAGCTTTCTTTGTCTGCTCTCCTCCTGTTTCATATTTAGTGTAAATAGGTTTTTGGGGTTTGTATAATAGTAGATTTGTAATAGAAGAATGGTAGTATTTTGAGACAGCAGAATCCAGAGAAACGGTGTTTTTCAGTTCTACGTTTGCTAGGGCAAATGGTTCAATCTTACGTAACATAGAAACAATAACAGGGAAATTATTTTTAAGTCGGAAAAGTCTGTTCTTAACAGCATGCGTGTTGGGGTTTTTTTTCTACTGGAAACTGTGCTGGTTTTCCTTATTGTTCTGGTAACATTTGGTTCAGTCTAATGAACACCCATCTTCATGGAGCTGCTTCATGCACGTTTGTAAAACGCCTGATGATCTTGAGAGGGGGGAAAGCTAGAGAGGCGTCTTTCTTTGCATATTCTCCAAGTGTGACATTCTGCAGTGTTGCTGTGGAGAATTACGATGTGTGAGGATTAGATGGAGTGCTGAAAAAGTCATAAGCAAAGCAATCCTTTGCTGTAGCAGTATGGAGAAATAAAAATGGAAGAACATGTAGCATAATTATATTTTGAGTTTAATGCTCATGACCATGTGGGTGAAAAACAGCTGTTTAGAGTAGCCCCTTTTTTAACATGTCAGCTGAGTTTTTCATCTTTTAAGTCTTATTCAGTGTCAGGGAAAGGAGACTGTAGTGAGATTCGACCACTGTGCCAAAGAAACACTGAGCAAAATTCATTCTTTTCTCTCCCAGATGGAATATTGTTTCCTTGCATGAGTCTGGTCTTGGATGATGATTCTGTCAGAATCTCTCAATTATTGAAGGTGTTTAGGTTTGCCCAGTTGTAGATTTGAACCGCATCTACAGAATAAACAGAATACTCTTTAGTGGGTTGTGTGTTTGGGATAATAATGGCTGTCATCCATCTCTCTGAAAGAGGGGTACCAGCTGCTGTCCACAGACCTTTGTTCCTCTGGATGGGGTTTACTCGGTTTCCCTACAGAAAGGATGTCCCTTCCCAAACCCTCCTTGTTTCCTTTCCAGTAATTATTCTGTCTCTGATCTGTGTTGCCATGGTAATCATAACCTCCCAATAGGGCTGGATGACAGATGAGGTTCAGGAAAGAGGTTCCGTGGCTGATTGTGACACAGAGTCTGTCTGGTTTCTGCTTCCCTGGGCTGGAGGTAAAGAGGTGGTGGTAGTGGAGTAATATGCATCTAGTCCCTCTGTTGACATAACTTACTCCTTTTTCACAACAGTAAGAGGAGAAAGAGGTGGTGCCAGTATTCCACTTATACTTGCCCTATGTGTGAACAGAGGGAGTAGAGGAGGGCTACTTGTCTTCCCTCGAGAAATGTCTTGTATACATTATGAAAGATTTCTGAGGCACTAGCCTTGTTTTGTAGCATTCTGACAACAAATACATCTGGGATCAGGGCAGAAATTGAGCCAGACTTCTGTTTTCTGCTTTTAGACCTTGGACAGGATGCACAAGAGTGCCAGAAATGTTGCTTGCTTCAATAGGTTGAGTACTAGTCTGCAGACTCTGTGACCTGCTGCCTCTCTCGACAATGCCATTAGATTTCATTTCAAGACATTCTAAGGTTTTATGTTTGAAACTGGCTTGAGGAATAGAATGGGGATTTGGCAGTGGGAAGCCCTATCTGGCAGATACTTGAATGAGTTGCTTTGTGGATGCCAGTCTTGGCAATTGTCAGATACTTCTTTGGGGGATCCTGAGCAACTTTCTTCTCCAGGGACAGTGTTGCCATTGCCTGTTATCCTTTAAGTAGGAAGGAGTGATGTCTACACAGCCAGAACAGGTGTAAATCTTGAGCTGTGGAGGAAAAGGAAGTACAGGTGGCATTGTGATTTTTTTTTTTTTCTTATATTAATAATAATGATTATCTTTACTAAAATTGTGTTATCTGTCTCAGATTTTTCCTTTTTTGTTTGTTTCGGGTTTTGTTTGTAGGGGTTTTTTTTTTTTTTTTTCCTTTTTATGCCCCTCCCCCCAAATTCCTCTCTTTTCCCCCTTTCTCACTCTAAGGTTACCAGCTTTTGTGTGTCACGTTTACCAACTTGTCTACATTCCTTGTCTACAAGGGTCTGTATAATAGCATTACCGACCTGTGTTTGTGGGATCTCATCCTCTTTTCATAATTTGTTGCTCTTTGATTTTTATTTTCTTTTTTTTTAAAGTGAATTCTGTGTCTCACATGAATTTAAGTTGGCTATGCAGCAGAAAGTACTGAAGTATGTGACACAAGCTGAGCTTGAGCAAAAGATTGATGTGCTTTGTGTTCCATTTTTGCTGCTCTGGGTCAGTAGTCCCAGATGGCTGCTCTCTCTTCAGTTGCCAGAGCAGAGGAAAAACAAATAAACCTTCTACATCGAAAGTATTCACCCAAAAACAACTGATGTGTAATCTCGTTCCATTGGGTGTTTGAACTTTTCATGATCTTTTGGCTACACTGTGACCTCACCAGAAGACTATGGGAATGTTGTGATGCCTCATATGTGGATGAACAGTTGTATCTTCTGGTACTCTTGCTACCACACAGTGGAATCCCAGCAGCTGGGCAGCTACAGCCACAGGCATTCCAGAGAGGTCATCAGGATCAGTAATAGAGAGTCTGATAGCTATTCAGCAGCTGGCAGCACAACTGAAAAGTTCAATTTCCTTGGTTTGAGAGTGTTTGTTTTTCATAGGGCTGGTAAATTTGAAAAGGTCCATTAGGTTTTTGAGTTCTTGGCCAACCTTCAACCTATCATTTTAGTGTGGGTTTGGTACTAGCAGGCTTCAAGGAAACTGCCTTTTAGTTAAAGTCTCACATAGGGGATGTGCTGCGTCAGAGCCAGGGTCTGTATTTGCAAGGAGAGGGCAGGGTAAGGACATTCTAGAAATTACATTAATGTTGCAAACAGCTGTTATGTGGGTTCCTGCTCTCTTTTGAGTTTGTTTCATCTTTCTCCTGGCTAAGTTTTCTCTGTCAGCCTAGACCTGGTCATATGGGGCAAGGTCACTATGAGAAACTGCTAGACATGAAAACATGTGGCTGAGAAGCACAGGCAGACTGGCAGAGGGATTCTGGATTTTGGAACGAGTAGGGACCTAAGGAGGGAAGCAGTCATTCAGCACAGAGGAAGAGGCCAATCCAGTGGTGTCCAATCCAATAAACACCTCTGTTTCTAATACAGAATTTCTCAGTTCTCTCTGCATCTCTGTGGGAAAAGGGCATACATGGATTCCTTAAATTGTGCTAGAAATTAAAATACCATTGGCAATAGTCAGTTGGGCCCTTATACTCATAGTTTTAATGTATCTGCCTGTAGGTGTAGCTCCACAAAAATTCAAAATCTCATTGCCATTGTTCAAATTGTGGACTAGTCACATATCTGAGAATTTTGCATATCCTCGTGCTCTATTCCTTGTTTTCACTACAAATGGGGGGGGGGGGAATACTATGATCGCTATAAATGTTCTTAGGTTTTAATACTGTGAGGGTATGTAATTTCTTTTGAGGAGAGTAGTTGAGGTGATTGTGTTGAGAACATTGAAGATACTTACTAAGCCGTATGGATGTCTATGTCTTTTTCTGCATTTTTCATAACCAAATTTGGTGAATATGAATAAGGCATGTTGTATAGGCAGTCCTGTACTGAGAATGCAATATTGGTAAACAAAGAGAAGGAATAACATTTGATACTCATTGGTTTCTCTCTACTTTCATAGATGTCTATTCCTTTGATGAAGAGGAGCCGGTTTTAGACCCACATATAGCAAAACATTTGGCACACTTTGGAATTGATATGCTGCAGATGCAAGTGGTAGGAAATCTGTCTTTTGTTTAGTTTGTTTTTTGCTTGTCTTTGTTGGGGGTGGGAGAGAAGCAGGAGAATGATACTGTCAGTTTATATTTGTGTGATTCCTTCAGGCTGTTTCAATACTATTTAGTTTTGTAAAGCCAGCCACTTCACGTTTTATTTGGTGAGGTCTGAGTGAATCATTACTCTTAAAACCTAAAGTTGCCTTCTGAAAGAGTTCCTTTGTGGTCTTTAGTTTACATGTTTCACTTCATGTGTGTTATGTACCATTTTCCTTCAAGATGAAAACCGTCATTCAATTAAAGAAGGATATCTAGGATATTTAATTACAGTGGGTGAAGGAAAGCCTGTTGCATGTGTAAACAGATACAAATCTTAGGCAAAAAATAAACTCAACAATGCATAAGTAAAAAAAGTGGTTGAAAGTGGTGGTTTTTTGTTTTTTGGGTTTTTTTTTTAATGTAAGGTTAAAAATTTCAATTTAGGTCTTGTTAATAAATATATTAAAAAATGAAAAAATACATTCTCTCAAGTCTAGAAAAGAGCGTGCTCTATGGTGTGGTACACTGGAAAGGGACTGGGGCAAAAAGGGTCCTGTTCCTGAACATGTTGTGGGACTGATAAGTCCTTGTAGTAATTTTTATCTTAGTGGATGTTGATTCCAGTTCTGTTTAATGATCTACAAAGTCTGAATGGGTTATGGTTATAAAAGGCATGTGGATTGGGATTTTATTTTTGGGGAGCTGTGGGGCATGGAGAGGTGTTTGTGTTTTTTGGTTTTTGTTGTTTTGGGGTTTTTTTTTTGGTTGGTTGGTTTTATTTTGTTTTGTTTGTTTGTTTTGGGTTTTCTTTAGGTTGCACCCCCCCC